ATGCCAGAAAGGTCTGTCGGATAGTGGCAAGACGAAAAGCAGTTACCGTTTTAGTGTAAATTGCTACACTATGACGGGGGTCGGAGGCCAAATTCGTACTGATGGTTGGATGCAACGTGATGGCCGTAAGGTCTTTGTTTCCCTTGGATGGTTAAAAGTGCTGCCTACCCCATGGGAAAAGGACTTAAAGAAAGTTGACCCTGAAATTAGCAAACTCCTCCTTGCCGCACGAGCTACCGATGCTGGCTTTTTCCATCCGGTATTAGAACAATCAAATCTCACACCAACAATCCTGAAAAGATTGTGTGACAGGCCTCAAGCATATGTCCGACGAGCTCTGCGATCACACAATTTTTTCTCTCCACGTACTTCGAGAAGAATTAGCATCCCACGGTGTGGGTAGCCGGAAGTGTCAACCACTAACACACTTTCAGTGGTGTACAAGACTCAATCAAAGGTAACCTATCCTCCTCAACCCTATCTCCTCCTTTGTCTTCACCTATTGATACTAATATTAAGCCTCTTACACCTTCCTCAATCTCTCACTCTGCAACCATTGCTAACCATCAAAGCCATCGAAACTTCATTTTTCGTCTCATAAAACGATCTTGTCGACATCACATTCCAGCTTTCAAAATTCAAACCCTATGTGAAATCGAACAACAGGCATTGCTCCCCAGAACTCTGGAATCTCGAGCCATAGATGTATACCGTCTTTACTGCAACCCCTACATAAGACTCCAGTGTGGTTAGTAAATTGACATCATATGGCAATAGTAGTGAATTTTCACCTTAAGACTATCTAGAGTTCAAATGGTGTGCTCTTAAGGACTAACTGGTGTAGGTACAGCATGGAGTTGTAAATCAGAAAGTGAGCTTCTTGACTGGAGGCCAGTCAACGGCTATCTATGTGTTGTTCGAATGAGCGGATCTTTAGGAACCAGGAAGGATCATGAAACCAGCCGACATCTATTCATAATCTCCGCTTACGCACCCACCAACTGAAGTTCAGATGCAAAAAATGAATCCTATGAGCAGCTGTCAATTTTGCAACAGAATACAAAACGTTCTGATATAGTATAACAACAAGCGACCCCAAAGCCCAAGTAGGGAAACTGAGTCATTGCGAAAGGCATCCTGGAGGTATCTATGGAATCCCATGCCAACGAACCGACAAGTGTGGTCGTCTGGTGTAATTTTTTCTGATAACCACTTGTTTATGGCCGGCACTAGCTTTAAGTATAAGAAGAGACACTATCTTACATGGCCTCCGCCAACATCAAACCATTGTGGACAGACAGATCATGTTGCTATATGCTATTGTTGAAGAGGACCGGTGAAGGATTCCCACCCTATGAAATTCCTGTCTGGATTCCTATAACCCGTTAGTACGAACATGTGCATATCTGCCCTTTACTGGTTGCAGAGAACAGGTAGCACTAAAGTACAGCCGTGCTCGATTGGAAGACAAAGACGCCAAGTATGCATTTAGGAAGGACATAGGTAAGCATCTATCTGAATGTGACAGAAATGCTGATCCTGAGGAAATTTTATATGATATCAAGTCTACTGTAAAAACACCTCTAAAGACAGTTGGTAACCTACATCCAAAGGTTAGTAAACGTCAATGTATTTCTGCAACCCTATCCGATTTGATGGATGGGATAAGACTCGTTCAAACTGGCTCTTTGCACAATAAAGAGCAGACAGACAGGCAAACAAATAAAATCAACGTAGAACCTCTCACAGAAGTGCATTGGCTCAAGTTGAATATTTACATTATCCGTTATCTTCGGATCCTTTATTCTCTCACACAACTTTGATTTCATCCTACTGCTATCCACCTGGTCTTTGTATACTACTGTGAAGTGTGACAACTTGAGCCAGTGCACTTCTGTGAGAGGTTCTACGTTGATTTTGTCAGCCAGTCATAAAGAGGGTGAGTGACAGCTAATCAACACTCAGTTAACCAAATCAGAATAACTAGCATATAGGTAGGATGTCCATTCTTAATCCTCTACTGTTTACACAAGATAATGACAGTCGGGCGAAGCCTCAGCTTGTTATTTGTCCATATCTTACATGCATTTGGTCGTTGAGCTCGTCTTTTTGTCACTACTGATGGTTTATTGTCAAGATTGTAGCATAAGTTGTAGGTTCATGTTTAATCTTCCTTTCAAGACATTAGCGGATGGAGCTGAGATTATACTGCTTGGAAGGTAGTTCTAAAGTTTCTGGACTCTGAATAGGCAACCTGTTGTATTTCAGATCTCAACTGTTGCATTCCCAATTTTTGACGATTCCTCTTAACCGTTTGTAGTCGTTTACTCTGACCATTCTAGGTAAACGGTGTTTAGGACCACTCAAAGCTAACCATAACCTTTGTAGTCGATGTGAAATAGGTACACCCTTTCATCAAAGAAATATTACGGATGCTCAGTAAGGCCTTAGCAGCTGTCGTTTAAACCTTGTAGTTGCTAGTCCTGCATCAGCTATGGCGCGTATGAGATGGTCTCGTATTCCAGATGTGGGTGTTGCACAGTTACCTTTCATGAATCCAACAAATACTCTAAGGAGTATTCCCAGAATGGATTCATTTTTCATGACAGTACAAGGTATACGTTTAAAACCATTGAGACTACCGCATAACAGCATTTATATATAGTGCCACTCATTGATAACCGGTAAATTTCTGAAAGAATAGTTTTGAGCTGGGTAGTGTCTGATACTCCACTATGTTAGGCTGAATCGCAAGCAATTTACTGGCACACACTTAGTCGCTGTTGTTGCCAATTTTTCGTCAAATCTTTGAGTCACCTACAAACAGCACCTATAATGATTCAAAACTAGCCCGCAGGACAGGACCTATAGTCCTTGCCAGACTTCAATCATACCAAAGAGTTGAAATGAGTAGCAGCCACTGGCCTTCTGTTTGGAATAACGCTTCTCAAGGCAGGCAAAAACCAACAAGTTGACAGAAGAGACAGGGTAGCGAAGATGGGACTTCAAGTGAACGTACAGAAGACAGAGGTTATGAGGATACCTAACTAACAACAACAAGCACCGATCACCATAAACGGGAAAAACCTAAAGGAAGTAGTCTTTTTCACCTGCACCTACCTAGGTAGCATCGTTCAAACTACTGGTGGCACAGATGAGGATGTCAAAGCCAGGATCGGGAGATCTACTGCACTGCACTCAGCATAAGGCGTGAACAAGATCCGGATTTTCAACACCAATGTCAAGTCAGTGCTTCTATGTGATGGTTCAGAAACTTGGCGCGTTACGAAAGGCCTTTGCAACAAAATGCAGATATTCATCAACAGCTGCCGCCTACGCTCACTCCATACTGAAGATCAGATGGCCAGAAAGAATAAGCAACAAGGAATTCTGACCTGGCAACGAACCAACCAAGAACCCATCGCCCAACAAATATGCAGAAGGAAGTGGAGATGGATAGGGCATACATTGAGAAGACCATTTGGGGATATCGCGTGACAGGCCCTCGAGTGAAACCCAGATGGGAAACAACGAGTTGGGCGTCCGAGGTGAGGGTGACATGGAGGGGATCATGTGAGGAAGAAATGAAAGCTTGCGGGCAGTCGTGGAGCCAGCTTGAAAAGACTGCAGAGAACAGAGTGAAACGGAGACATGCTACTGAAGCACTATGTTCCACTAGGAATCCAAGGGACAAATAATTATAATAATAAGTAGTGAACCATTACCCTAAGCTTCTGACGTCAACTTTCTTAACATTTTCGTAAAGAGATTACATCTTCGCTTCATGGTGCAAACCCCCGAACAACCTGGCAACAAAGATATGTTATTTATCTCCCCATCCAGGATATCACAACTTTCAAATTAATAGTGGAAACCTAAAATAACCGAATTAAAGTAGTTTCTAAAACTTGAAATCCAACAATTATCTATCATCACTTCAAATGGCTTAAGCGTCTACTAGATCAGATTAAAACCAACATGTTAACCAAAATCTTATTCCTAGATTGAGCTGTACCGGATGATATTACCCGGCCAACTGGGTAGTGAAGTTAACACGAAAAGGAAACAAAAGATAAAACAGGAATGGAGAACATGCGAGATATCCTGACTAGTACGCATTAGACCTAAAGACGAAATATGAGTTTAACGTTAAGATGTCACCGTTTACGGAGTTACACAACAATCACATTCACTCTATGTCCATAAAGTGAGTCGAAATCATACCAAATATATTAATACCTCAACAAACAAAAGACTGTAAGCTAGAAAATTACTTAACTAACCACAAATCTCAGTAACCATGTGGATGTTCACCCACTACTTAATAAACCGCACCCACTGTGATGTCTAATGTATCTAATTGCTTAATCCTTGGTAGATGAAGTGGGCTTCGAAAACGTGACCCACTAGTTGAAAACCGAGCGCCTAGACCAGCGACTCAGCTCCAGCAAGTAAATTGCCAGACAACACATACAAGATTGAGACGTCGCTCATCACAAGGCAGTCCAGAAATCGTATGGAGTTAAATACCCCTAGGGCAGCTAAAATTAAACCATGACTATAATGCATGATTGCCATTCTTCTGAAAATGCCCTAAAGGCTCTGTCAGTATTCAGTCAGGTGATTGGATCACGTAAACTACTCTACCTAATACTATTGCCAAAAGGCTAGGTCACCTTGGCAAGATCGACAAATACTGAGAGAATGAGAATAAAACCTGTCCCCGAACACAGACCACGTTCCAACTAGTAGTCCCCTGGGTAAAAGCCTGATAGTGCCAGGTCTTATGTTGCTGTATGTATCCAGACCGACAGAAAACAACACCAGCGCACATGAACATATCAAACTTCCTTGCAGTAAGATCTTACTGAAGCTTATTAGCAAACGAATCGGTTATGAAACTTTTGGCTGAAGATAAGTTATCTTTGACAGTCAATGAACGGCTTCATAAAGGAACTGGTGAGACTAACTACACCACCGCCGACAGAAAATATCACATTACGCGTAACTCTTTACTAGTCTAGGAATAAAAAGAAGAAACTGGTGTACACCACTTTTTATCAAACAAGGAAAATCGGGGGCGAAAACATACCGGGGAAATATACAAAGGGAGCGTTAACTCAAAGTGTCTACAGTTCATCCTTTTCTTGATCAGGTTGAGGGGGAGGAGTTCCTGACTGTTGGTAAAGAGAAGAAATAACTGGCTGGACGACTTCATCAAATGCCTTTTTCTTCTGCTTTAATTCCTCTACTTCAGCTTGAGGGTTGCTGTCCAAGAAGGAAATTGTCTCATCTATAATCTTTTCCAACGTCTTCTTATCATCTGCTTTAAGCTTATCTGCTAGTTGGTTTTTGTCAGCAATTTGGGCTTTCAAAGTGTAAGCAGCACTCTCAAGTTCGTTTCTGGCATCGACACGTTCTTTCAGCTTCTTATCCGATGCTGCAAACTGTTCTGCATCATTAATCATTTTTTCTATCTCTTCAGGATTCAGGCGGTTTTGTTCCTTATTGATCTCGATTTTGTTTTTCTTACCCGTTCCTTTATCTTCTGCTGAGACCCTAAGTATCCCGTTTACATCGATTTCAAAAGTCACCTCAATTTGTGGAACACCACGTAGCGCTGGAGGAATCCCAGTCAAATCAAATTTACCGAGGAAGTGGTTGAATTTCGTCATTGCTCGTTCACCTTCAAATACCTGGATCGTTACGGTTGGTTGATTATCAGCAGCTGTAGAAAATATTTGCGATTTCTTGGTCGGAATGACTGTATTTCGTGGGATGAGTTTCGTCATTACACCACCAACTGTTTCAATACCAAGTGTCAATGGACAGACATCCAGTAGCACGACACCTCCAGTATTTTCTACACCCCCTATAACACCACCCTGAACAGCTGCACCATAAGCAACTGCTTCATCTGGATTAACTCCTCGGTTAGGCTCTTTGCCATCAAAAAAGTCTTGAAGTAGTTGTTGGACCTTTGGAATTCGAGTAGACCCACCGACTAAGACAATCTCATCAATTTCTTCTTTTTTCATACTGGCATCTTGCAAGACTTTCTTCACAGGTTCGAGTGTTTTTAAGAATAAATCCATATTCAGCTTCTCAAATACTGCTCGCGTAAGAGTTTCAGAGAAATCTTCACCATCTATTAGAGATTCAATCTCAAGCCGGACGGTTTGCATGGTACTTAGAGTTCGCTTTGCCTTTTCAACTTCTCGCCTCAACTTTTGTACAGCACGCTTATCTGTTTTGATATCCTTACCCTTTTTCTTAAGGATTAGCTTTGCGAAGTGGTCAATGACACGCTGATCGAAGTCTTCTCCTCCAAGATGTGTATCACCATTTGTAGCTACTACTTCAAACACACCATTCTCTATGGTCAGCAATGAAACATCAAAAGTACCGCCTCCAAGATCAAACACCAAAATATTCTTCTCACCTTCTTTCTTGTCCAGACCATAAGCTATCGCTGCAGCAGTTGGCTCATTGATAATTCGGAGTACATTCAACCCTGCAATAGTACCAGCATCTTTTGTTGCTTGACGTTGTGCATCACTGAAGTAAGCAGGCACAGTGACGACAGCATGAGTGACCTTCTTACCAAGATAAGCTTCAGCACTTTCTTTCATCTTCCCCAAAACCATTGCAGATATTTCCTCAGGTGCAAACGACTTAACTTCAGAGCCAACCATCACTTCAACATAAGGTTTGTTCTTCTTATTGACGACTTTGAAGGGGTAATGTTTGATATCATCCTGTACTGACTGTTCATCAAAAGTCCTTCCAATAAGTCTTTTAACGTCAAACACTGTGTTTTCGGGGTTAGACGTAAGCTGGTGTTTGGCAGCATCCCCTATAAGCCGTTCACCTTCCGTAGTGAATGCTACATAAGATGGAGTAATTCGGTTGCCTTGATCATTTGCAATGATTTCCACCCGACCTCCCTGAAACACACCAACACTAAAAAAAGATAAAAGGGATATGCAAGCGGGACTTACCAGGAATATGTAGTGCCTAGATCAATACCAATAACCGTCCCATAATCTTCTTTCTTATCTTCACACAGAACAACACAAAATACAGATGATAATAAAAACAGTGCCGAATACCACATTCTCGTATGTTTAGTGACTACGATAATACCGAACGTTGGCAAAAGCTGCTTAAATTACTATGGTAGTCGATGTGGATAAATATGATTGGCTAGCATAATATACGTCATCCCTTGAGAACAGTTAAACAAATCTGACCAGGTACAATTAAACTATACTATCGCGTAAAGATAAATAAGAAATAATTGTTCTCTTAAAAAATATTTGATACCCGTAGCGTGTAATAGGTGGATTTTCAGTATTGACTCACACAGCCTTCCAAACTGTCTGTGGCAATTTAAAGAAATGGACAGAGTATAGTGAGCAAATAATGGTCATTTCTGTACGACAAACGTTCAGGCTTGTTTTGGGAATGTGAAGGAGCAGTTTTAGTATCCTACACTGTGGCAGGCATTCTTATTTCCACATTCGACCCATAAAGCACGCTCCTAGGAGTGCATAGTTCGGCTTAGGTTTTAGAGTTTCCTGCAATTTCCTCTCCAGAGATAGTCCACCGGGAGAACTAAGAATAAGATAAGGTGGTAGCCCAACTCTCACTGAAGTATGTATGGCAACTATGAGGTCTGGCCCAAGCCAGCGGTACTACAGATCAAACAGGTCAGAACAAAACAGTCACTCCTGTGATGGCTGTAAATGATTTGCTAGGGAATAGATGATGGTATTGACCACTCACGCTTCATAGATAGAGGCAGTAATGTGCCGTTTGCTGTTTGTGCATAATTCGGAAACAACGTTGAGTAAGACATAGGTTTGTAGTAATTCGTTCTCTGAGTGAACACTCAGGGGTCAAGTCGGCAAAACTTAAAATTTTTTGAGTTCCGTGGGTTATTCCAAAGGACTTTTACAGAAGGGACGATTTTGGAGTAGTTGGGTCGCTGGTCAGTTTTTTTCCACCCTCTCAAACTGTTCTAATAATGGTGACTTCGTATATCAAACAAACTCGTCTGTCTTTCATATCGGCCTCAGTATATATGTATAATGCACATTATTTGGAACATACCTTCGTAAAAAGTCTGGTGGTCGTTCTGAGTGGGACTTATGCCAGAAAGCCGATGCACCTGACATGATGTCTTCTGCAGAGCCTCTGAGATGATGGCTCTCAGCTATTCCTAAGTCCTGACTCAGAAAACTTGGGATGTAACACAACTGTTTGTGTGGTCAAGCGGATTTCCACCATAGGTGCTCGTGAATAAACTGAGGTTGGCTCCTAGAGTTACTTCACTGACTCTTCTTATTAGTGTGTTACCGATGTGATCCTGTAACAGAAGCCTTTTCCTATCACTCTGCACAGTCCTTCAGATTTTAACATCTGCAAACACTAACGAGGTGTTGTGAGTTCATGGGTATTTAATGGACATGGGGATCAAAGAGTAGAAAGCCTTTAAAATACGGGCCTCAAGCAGCGCCAATCGCCATTAGTTTCCGTGGGAACAACATGCTGTTATCCCCGGTCTTTCTTCTTGAGATAAATGTTTATTGAAAGTCTTACGGAAGTGAAAAATGACAATCGGCAAACATGATCGAATTGATTGTCATAGCCGCGGCCTCTCGCACTACGTAAGTCTTATCAAAGATTGTGCGACAAACTTTGGATTGACACTCCATCTTTGCCAGACGCCAAATTCTTCCAAAAAACTTCAGAAATACGCCAAAGAGGATTCCATTCGGGAGCACGATGCCCAAACTTTGCAGAGTTATCCAGCGGCCAAATGCGCAAGGTCAGTTTTATAAGCTATGGTGTAATTAGGACTCCGTCAGTCTCTCAGCAGTTCCGGCTGAGTCACTAAAGTGTTAAGCAGCAACAATAACAGTCCAGTGATTATATAAGCCATGGACGACAGTCCAATGGCAGGGGATGAGGTTCGTTGGATTGGACTTCACCCATCCTTCACTAGTCAAAAAATCCCTCCTGACTGGCTAATTTGCTGATGTTGCATATCACTTGAGATCTGCTACATCTACATCCCAAACTTTCTGTCGAAGTTAGATATGGTAATAAACCTTATGCTTGAATCTAAAGTGACAGCGCCACATAGTGAGTGTTCAACTATGGAGAGTCGATGACAAGGCGAGATTAACCGTCACACTTCTTTTTACATACGAAGCCCAAAGATGAACCTGAGTCAAACACATTTTTCAAAGAAATGAAGCGTCAAGCTAAGCTGCTTATAATGTCTCCTTAGTGCTAGCAAATTAAAAAAACCATAAGTCTCATAACATACGTAACGTGTTTCCACCTGCAAATCTTCTCCTAGCGACCTACATACCTACATACATGTCTAACTGGCTATAAAGGACTGTTGCTGCCTGCGTCAATCTAACTCGCGGCAATCCCCTGACCATCTAGACCGCTAACCATCGGCCATATTCCCCGACGATACTGGGTAAAATAAAACAGGCATTTCGCCACGTTGTGATGACTGCACTTACTCTTATAAATAGTTGGGTGACGCCTAACTTATGATAATAATAATAGTATTTATTCCTGAATATACAGGCACACACCTTTTTTGCAGGTATGAACAGGTTTATACATAAATTACAAGCATCTTCATGGGAGGTAGCCTCAATCCTCACCCAAAAGTGCTGCATGTTCATATGATGGAACATCCCAGAAGAATAAGTGAGCAAAAATTTACAAGTTGGACAATTGGAAGTATTGTCTTCGCATTAACGAAAAAACCAGGTTTGTATCTCGACACTACATGTAATGCCTGGAGGAAAATAAAGCTTGAAGTTAATACTTCTGTTGTAACACTGTACTTTTTGTTGAAATAATGACAAAACGTTTATAAGGGAATGTATGCACAAATTGTCTATTAATTGTATTTCATTGATGATTCCAGAACTGTATAATTCATGCATGTTAATACCGTTCCACATCAGAGATATAAAGTCTTGATGAATATTACGACTGAGAGCCAAATATCCTCACCTTTCTAACTCCGGCGTCTGGAAGTGATAAACTTGTTTGAATGCACCAAGTGGACTTCCAGGACATCATGTCCGCCGTCAACACTGGTCGCGACAGCCTTTCGGTCGGTAAGTGTTGGACTTACCTGGCCACTTTTATAATGAGTAAATCCCAGATTTAGGTAGTTATGAAGTTGGAGTCCAGTGACCACTTTTTATTCCTGTTTGTTGTAGTTAGGGATCGTGAAGGCATTAAAACTGGTTACCCTCCACGAAGGGTAGTTTCAGACAAGGTATGTTCCTCAAATAATTAATTCTCGATGACGACCAGGCCAACATTCAGAATTGGATAGCATTTCTAGCGTGAAAAATAACAGAAAAAGAACAGCCGTCAATGCTGCAAACAAATTGTCATGGCATGAACTTGATCTTCCTCGTTTACCTTTTCTTACACGTCGAGGGTAGTGCGAGTTGATTTTATCCTCCAGTGCATCAAAAACTACACGAGAAGACATTATAAGCTTAGATTCGTTAATAATACCTTCCCTTCCCTAATGTCACTGGTTACAATTTGCGAAAGATTTGAATGAAAACAGAATCTATTAGGTATACCGCAGTAAAAGACCGTTTTTGCCAAATCTTTTGAACGTAACTATTAGTTAGGCCTTTCAAGTTCCAAAGGAATTCACATCTGGTTATTTACGGTCGGAGATAAGATCTAAACCTTAACTGAAGTACGTCGTGCACTGTTATATCACCAGTTCACAAGTTCCTCTACATCATAGGAGTTCACTAGTGACAGAAAAATACCAGTCTTATTCGGTTCTTCCGTCAGTGTGATGATAAATAATACTATTGCCGATGGATCCATACGTACTGCTAGCTACGGTGGGCTTCTCAAAATCATGTTATAGATGGGTTTCTTGCGGTTTCTTCTGACGGCTATCTAAGTTGTTCTTTGCATTAATTTCTGCACAGAACTGTCCTGATACTTGGAACTTACCCTAGTCCCCCCAGTATTATCAGGCACTCTACCAGCCCTTGCTGACCGACATCCCCCAGATATTACTGAAATCGTACGGAAGAGCACGGGGGAGATTCAAATAGACAAGGCAGTTGGATGCTTACTGACAAATATAATATTGTCCCCCCACAGCATGCATTTCTTTGAGGTCGGTCACGCAGCACCTGTTCACAGGACCACAGAAGCCTGCAAAGTGGTTTCCCTAATGTCAACTATATCATATTCGGATAAACAGATTTATTTATTTATATGATAGACAGGGTTGGATCACCACGAAGTCAAAGGATCTTGATTACAACCGAAAATCCATAATTGGAATGCTGCAAATGAATCACAATCCCATGGATTTTATTTGAAATCGGTCTGAAAAGAAGTGATCAAAGTCGTTAAAACTGCACCTAAAGTGCAAAAAGAAAAGCTTTCGTGGCTTTTCCGTTGTTTCTGAACAAAGGACACCAGAAATTTTAGCAAGAATTGGGTGAAAGGCTGGGTCGTAATTTTCGAAAGCAAGTGCTTCTGGCCTTAAGACCCTACCAGTAAAAGAAAAAATTCGATTTGCTAAGTAACGTTTGGTGGCTACAGGTTTAAAACACTAATAAAACCAACCGATCGGGCCCAACAGGGTTATAAGAACGTGGAAAGCGTCCAAATTTAGTATCATAGACCTTGTTAGGATCCAAGCCTCGAAGTGTCGGACCTATTACAGTCCGTTCAGTAACACAAACACATGAGGAAGTGGGACGAAGGAGAAGTGGCTAGATGAGTAGGTAGTCTCAGTGCTGAATGTTTACTGACGGGATCAACACCTCACCAATACAGTAGGGTTGATGGAACAAATACCCCGGAGGCATGAAACATATCGCTGCTTTAGAAAACAAAGAACATCAGGAAGTAGAACTTGTAACAGCCGCATTTTAAAAGCATCGCAGCTACTTGGATGTGGGTCCGTGCGGCATAGCGCACCGAAAACATGCTGTGCTGCTCTGTGTTGCATAAGACACATAAACCATATATGGAATTGCATTCTACCACAAATCCTCAGACTTATCCGTAATTCACAGTGCATTCAAAGTTACCGATTGACTCCATTGTTTATTCAGAAGCTATGCTATCAAATTATCCGGTCTACTGTACTTTTTTATCATATACATATTAAGAGACAATCCTCGATATTTTATCAGAATCGTTGCCAGCCCTTCTACGTGCCAATTAAATAGGAGGGGCTGTGGAGTGCGGTGGACGCTGTCCATTCATAGATTAAATAGGACTCGTGAGAATCTTTCGGCATAATTCCTTGAATAACAGCGGAATTCAA